AGAACTTATTCACTATGTAAGAATTTGTTCACCATGTAAGAACTTGTTCGTTATGCTTCAGATGATTGGAGGCTGTTGAGAATTAGGCTTGGGGTTGATTAATGATTGTGCATTGAGTCCCCTATACAGAACTTTATTGTTGTTAACCATTTGATCAATAAATATGAGAGATGCCCTCTCAAAAAAAAAAAAAAAACATAAATCAGGGAAGGCAATATGATGTGTGCTAAATGGGACTGCCAACTGTAAGGTAGTCAAAAAAGGAATCCCTCAGAGATGGTGACATCTGAGTAAGGAGAAAGGGAACAAGTCATAGAGCTATCTTGGAAAAAGCATGCATGGTAAAGGAAAAGGAAAGAACAAATGTACAATGTTCCTGAGAACATTGAGGAAAAGCAAGAATGTCAGTGTAGCTAGAACAGAATTAGCAAGGGGTATGGTAGATGAAGTCAGAAAGTAACAGGGAGTCTGATCATGCAGGGCCTTCTAAGCCAGAGTAATACTTTTGGATTTTCCTCTAACAAAAAAGGAAAGCCACTGGAAGGTTTTGAGCTAGTGTGCTGAAAGCACACTGAAAAAAGGCAAGGGTGGAAGCAGGGAGAACAAGAGAGAAACAGGAGAAAAATGAAGGTGATCTGGACTGAAGTAATAACTAAAAGAAAGAAGTGTAGGAAGTTCATAAATTCAGTTTTAAACATAGTTTGACATGCTTATTAGACATCTAGTAGAGATATCAAGTAGGCTACAAGATGTATCTGGAATTAAAGGAAGAGGTCTGGGCTATAGATTTAAGTTAGGTTCTATGAATTAGACTGAACATCACCAAGGGAGTCAAGGTATATAGGAAAGAGAAAGGTCTAAGGATTGAGTACTAAAGAATTCCCAACACTAGGATGTTAGGGAGATGAGAAGAACCAGAAAAGCAGTTGAAGAATGACCAGCAGTGAATTCAGCAAAGTTGCAGGACACAAAATTAATACACAGCAATCTGTTGCATTCCTATATACTAACAAACAGAAAGAGAAATCCAGAAAACAACTCCAATTACAATTGCATCAAAAATAATTAAATACCTAGGAATAAACCTAAGCAAGGAGGTGAAAGACCTGTACTCTGAAAACTACAAGAAACTCATGAGAGAAATTAAAGAAGACACCAAAAGATGGAAATCTCTATTCCATGCTCATGGATAGGAAGAATTAATATTGTCAAAATAGCCATTCCGCCCAAAGCGATTTACAGATTCAATGCAACCCCTATCAAAATACAAAGAACATTCTTCAAAGAAATAGAACATAGTTCTAAAATTCATATGGAACCAAAAAAGATACTGAATAGTCAAAGCAATCCTAAGAAAGAAGAACAAGGCTAGGGGGATTACACTCCATGATTTCAAGCTCTACTACAAAGCTATAGTAATCAAAACAATTTGGTACTGGCACCAAGAACAAACTCATAGATCAACAGAACGGAATAGAGAGCCCAAATATAAACCTACACATCTATGGTCAATTAATATAGGATGAAGGAGCCATGAATATACAATGGGGGAAATGACAGCCTCTTCAACAGCTGGTGCTGGGAAAACTGGACAACTACATGTAAAAAAATGAAACTGGATTATTGTCTAACTCCATACACAAAAGTAAACTTGAAATGGATCAAAGACCTGAATGTAAGTCATGAAACCATAAAACTCCTAGAAGAAAAAATAGGCAAAAATCTCTTGACTATAAACATGAGCAACTTTTTCCTGAACACATCTCCTCGGGCAAGGGAAACAAAATGAACAAGTGGGACTACATCAAGCTAAAAATGTACAAGTGGGACTACATCAAGCTAAAAAGCATTTGTACAGCAAAGGACACCATCAGCAGAACAAAAAGGCATCCTACAGTATGGGAGAACATATTCATAAATGACTCATCTAATAAGGTGTTAACATCCAAAATACATAAAGACTCATACACTTTAACATCGAAAAAACAAGATAAAAAAATGGGTGGAGGACCTGAATAGACAGACACTTCTCCAAAGAAGAAATACAATTGCTCAACAGGCACATGAAAAGATGCTCCACATCTCTAATCATCAGGGAAATGCAAATTAAAACCACAATGAAGTATCACCTCATACCAGTTAGGATGGCCACTATCCAAAAGACAAGAAACAACAAATGCTGGCAAGGATGCAGAGAAATAGGAACCCACCTACACTGTTGGTGGGACTGCAAATTCGTGCAACTGCTGTGGAAAGCAGTATGGAGGTTCTTCAAAAAACTAAAAATAGAAATACCATTTCATGCAGTAATTCCACTACTAGGAATTTGTCCAAAGAAAACAAAACCCCTGATTCAAAAAGATATATGCACCCCATGTTTATCACCATACTGTTTGCAATACCCAAGATATGAAAGAAACCTAAGTGTCCATCAACAAATGAATGGATAAAGATGTGGTACATACACATAATGGAATATTATTCAGCCACAAAAAGAAAAGAAATCCTGCCATTTGCAACAACATGGATGGATCTAGAGGGTATTATGCTCAATGAAATAAGCCTGGTGGAGAAAGATAAACACCGTATGACTTCACTTATTTGTGGAATATAAAAACAAAGCAAAACAGAAGGAACAAAACAGCATTAGACTCATAGACACTGAGAAGTGACCAGTGGTTACCAAGGGGGAGGGGAGTGGGTGGAGGTGGCAGGGAAGGGGCGGGGGACTGTTGAACCACTATGATGTGATTTGACAATAAAAAAATAAGAATAATTTTTTTAAAATAAAAACAAAAACAAAATAAATAAATAAATGCTTCCACAGTAAAAAAAAAAAAAAAGTGGGATTAGAGGAAAACCAGAAGAGAGGATTTCTGGAAACCAAGTGAAGAAAGAATTTCAAGGAGACAAGTATAGGTCAAGTAAGCTAAGCAGCATGAAGTCACCTATAACCTAATGGGTGTTTTTATACTACCATGTAAGAAAATACATAACCCAGTACCTGTAAAGCTTTATGTTCTTTGTGAAGATCTTTTATTTTATTCAGTTGTTGGCAAACCCTATTTAGGGATTCATCTTCCAATTCACCAATTTTGGATTTCACACTCTCCATAATTTGTTCCAAGTCATTAGCTCGTTGTTCCTGATTTGCTGCTTGGCTTTGTTGTAGCTGAACTTCATTTCTAAAAAGACACACAATTCCTATGCTTAGTAATAAAAATAAATCACTTCAACAAACATACACATGTAACCACATAATGAATTCTAAAATTTCTTTGCATTCTCAAAATTTCTATCTTACAACACACACCAATAAAAGAAATATAGGATACATATCTAAGTATTACCAAAAGATTTACTTATTAAAAATATTTTGTAAATTTAATATTTAATCAAAATAGAAAATTAAATTTCAAGATACTTTTCAAGGCCATTATTTCCAGAATGCATACCACTTGTATACAAACAATTCAAGAGATTATTTTTCCATTTTTTTACTTAAGCTGCTGATTAGTTTCTATGAGCTCCTGGATCATGTTCTGTTGACGTGCTGTTCCTTCCATCAATGTTTTCAAATTTTGTCTCATTCTCTGTGATGACTGTTTGTCAAAAATGATGAGATCTACATTTTTTTGAAATATAATACCAATAGTAAAAATAAAGGTAAGGCCAAAAAAAATTTAAGATAAAATTTTTTTTAAGGGAACAAGAATAGGATCTGATTACCATTAAGATCTGGTCTTTTGACTAGAGACAAAGGTCTTAGGCCATGCGTCATCAACTGCACATTTATGCTTTCCCATTCTGCTTCCTCCCGCTATACTCAAAAGGAGAGAGAAATGGATCAACTTTAAGATACAAAGTAAAGAAATATCCTCTCATACATAATTTCCTTTGTAGATTTTTTTGTATTTTTCAGAATAACAGCTTTTCTTCTGAAAGTTGAATATGAATTTTTTATGCACATATTATGATTAAAATGAAAACATTTGTTTCTAACAAAATTGGCAGAATAAAAAGGATGTAAATAAGCACAAATAATTACATTATGTAATTCCAGAATACTCATTCATAGGCCAACAACAACAAAAAAACACCTTGTGATTCCAGTGAACCAAACAGACTTCAGGTTTTTTACTTAACTGAACCAGACTAGGCCCCACTCAAAAGAAACAGCTGCAAATTAGGTTATGCTAATTGAAGAGTAAAGAAAAGGTTAGTCACTCACAGACAAGTGTCACTTTAACAAAGGCTAGGGTCATAAAAAAATCTGCCTAGAGCCAATTATTTAGATAGTTCCCTGTTCAACTGAGGAAGTCTAACAAAAAAAAAGTCTGTACATGCAGGTAACGATTCTAGTAGAATCACTCTGAAAGACACTCTCAAGTTTTATATCCCTCATTCTAAATATGTATTTACACCAGAAACCTGAGATGGGAACTCTTAACTCTCTAAATTAAGTGAACAAAAATATAACAATGGGAAAAAAAGAATTAAGAACATAAAATACACATAAGAATAGAAAGACATGATTGGGGAAAAAAATGACACATTTAAATCCATGGTATTAATAGTTTAATGCTGGCTTTTAATGGGCATAGAATGGTCACTGTATGAAGTGCTTTACTTGCTCGCTTTTTAGTGTATTAAAGTATATTTGTGAAAAAGCAATCTGAGTGAACTTTCAATGTTTAAAGGCTTGCAAAAATATATCATTTATACATAAATTCACTTTTATTAGTGGTATAGTATGTAAATACTATAATAGCTTAAAGATTAATAATTCATAATAGACAAAACTGAATACAAGTGTCACTCTTTATTTCCAAATGTCCCTCAGATATTATAGACAATACCAAGACAAATAAGGAACAAATTATCCTGATGACTCTGACAGCACTGTGACTCAGAGCCAAATAAATCTTTCCTTTTGGTTGCTGACTTTCTTCCCCTTCTGTATCCTTTCTACAACCTTCTCCCTTATTTATGCTTTAGGTCTTCTGGTCACAAAGATCAATGACACAGAACTAAAATTACTATTGGTATCTGTTTTAGGAGGCAAAATCTCTGTGTGGATATCTCAGTTTATGTGTACTATGACTCATAAAAAACAAAACTTGTTGCAAATAATAACATCACACATTTTGGATGATCAAATCATACATATTGTTCTGATACCTCTTTTTAAGAGAAAGAATAATGTAACTGTTTGCAAATTCTGAAAATAGCTGAGAATGGCATTTTCCAAAGTATGTACTGCAGAACATTAATCTAATGATATGTTCATCAGACTAGTCTTACATAGGTAGGAAATACCATACACTAAAGCCTCCTTTTGGAGAATAGTCATATTGTGAAGTCTTAGAAAAATGAAATCACTTAATAGTCTTTACCCTAGACATTTCTAAAAATTATTTTACTGAAGAATCCTTTTAAAGTAAGATAATTCACATTTGTAGATATAATATTCTTTGACTCATACTTTGAGAAACACTGGCTTCAAACATTTCAGGTTTACCTGTTTTTCATTCATGAGTCTGTTTGATGATTTACTGGACTCCTGGGCTTCAGAAACTGTTGGAGATATAGTTTCTTTTGCAGAATCAAAAGAAGCAGAGACTGGCAATTTAAAAATTTTGAGTTGCCTAAATTAAAAAAGAAAAAGTGCAATAGGTGTTAAAGGAAATTATATTTAAAAGAACCTAGTACTGGCCAATTTAAGTCATTCCCATAACAAAACTTTTATGACTTCTTAGAAAGCTGATCTTAAGAATGATTAGAATAAACCCTATCTTATCATGTTCTCCCATCAAAATAAAACATGGGGTTTTACAAGTAAGACCACACACAAAGAAAACTGTTTCAATTAGATAACATGAAAAACATGTGATGCTATTAAATAAACTGTTATCTTTTGGAAGCTGCTACCCCAAAAACCTAAAATTGTGCCTGACCAAAAGTTATAGGCCAGTCTAACAATTCACTGAATTAATTCCAAGGGTGAATGAAATGCCACTTTCTTGGGTGGTCTTTATTTTTAAGTAGATCAGAAGCTAGCAACGAAATATTGTGTTTGACTGGTACATACAAAAGTTTATATTCAGTCTATTCTACCATCACTTGCTTATCTAAGACTTTGCCCTCCATAGGAAAAAGCTTTCTTGGCTTCTTTGATTTATAGGTATAATTCCTCCTTTCCAAGAGGCACAATCACATTCAATAGCATCATGGAACTTCAGAAATTGAGAGGACCTCGGAAATAAATTCAAAATCTAGCTACCCATAGCTGACAGTAAAGAATGTAGGAAGAGTTGTACCAATATATCTGATACTACAAAAATCTGAGACCCAAAGAAATGAAATGATTTTCCCAGGATGATTCAAAGTAGGCCTCCTTGTGCCAATTCAGTATTTCTTCCAAAATACCCTTCTGACCTTCTAGATCTGCTTTAGATAGTGAAACCCACCTGAACAATTTACTAGCCACCAATAATTTATTTTCACCTAAATCTAATAACATGTACAAATTTTCAAGTTCTACCATTTTTACAGCTTGACATCAGAATACTCTCTCCCCTTTAAACTTTCATCTTTTTCAACAATTCAATCACCCACTATGTTCATCCGTCCCATATTTAAGTAAAGATCCTTTTCAAAAATATCAGCCAACTACAGCTGTCACCACCTTCAAGCTAGTTTAACTTTTTTTTAGAAAAATTTTCAATACACAAAAGTAGAGGGAACATAATAAATCCATGAATACAACTTCAATGATAACCAACATTCTTCCATTTCTTGATCATTTCTTCCTCATCCACTTATATTTTAGTATACACTTCTAATAAACACAAACTCTAAAACATAACTTCAATACAATTCACCCAAAATCAGTAATAAATCCTTATTACCACTTAGTATCTAGTCCATGTTCAATTTCCCCTCAAAGTGTCTTTACAATGTCTTATTTTAATTTTTTTCCAGATCAGGATCCAAACAAGGTCCCCATATAGCACTCTTAAATTTCTTTTAATCCGTAACAGTCCCACTGCCCCACTACTTTTTAAACTGTCATTTATTTGTTGAAAAAATAGGCCATTTGTCTTGCTGAAACATCCACATTTCAGATTTGTCTTACTGTATTCTTATCATTCAACATATTTCTTCATCACCTCTATTTCTTGTAACTAGTTACATCTAGAGGCTTTATTAAATTCAGGTTCACTATTTTTTGACAAGAATAATTCAGAGGTGATTCTGTGTTCTTCCTACTGCATCACCATCTGGAGTTACCCAGAGTTTTAAGTGGGAAGAAAATACCGGGTAGACCATATATAAGTGTGATATGTATCAATATGAGAATCTCCCAAAGGAAGTGGAGCCGCACATTCTGACAATCTCCCTAACAGCTACACTAGACCTCCTTCAAATCTTCACGACGTCATCTCCCTCCAGGCTCAAGGCCTGGGCACTCTTGACTTCTTTGCTTAATTAAGTCATACTTGATTTTAGGTCTTGACTCAACTTTCCTTCTTCAGGGAAATGACCCCTGATCCTATAACTAGATCAGGTCCTCTTGTTAATGCTTTTATAGCACCATAAAAAATAAAGTATAGGGGACTCTCTTGTCCCCTCCTGGCGTAAGGAGCTCTGTCCTCTCACTTTATCTTTAAGTAAAAGCCTCTCTTTGCTCTCCCTACCTTGAGTGTTTGTGAAGTAAATTCTTCGACTCTGCAAACAAGAACCCCGGCATCATTTCTGGGAGCTTGTCCGGGATATCTTAGGAAATGGGAACTTCCTCTTCAAATTTAAAGCCAGACACACTTCTATCATGCATTCTGAAGAATTAGGAGCAATTTGATCCCCTAACCCTGAAAAAGAAGTGCCTTATCTTCTGCATACAAGCCTGGCCTCAATACAAATTCTCTGATTGGAGAGGCTTGGCCCCTGAGAGAAGTATACAATATAGTAAGTGTGTTACAGAGTGTATACCTACACATGGCTTGAAAATCTTTATGGACTTCCAAAAGCAAGTCCAACTATGTCAGGCTCAGAAGTCCCATGGACTACTATGATATGGAGCTGAGTTTCTAAACCCTTTTGAAGTCATAAAACTGCAAATGGTGATAGAAATGGAACCCAAGATAGAAGTGCCCATCTTCTGAGGCCCTCTCCACTGACCAGTGATGGAGACATAGCTGCACCTGTTACTGTGACCCCTTCTCAGCATGAAGCAGCCAGAGCGGTCATCGCCCCTTTCCCTAGCACCAGCTAGAGTACCTATCTGTACAGGGGGGAATGAGACAGGGACTGTGGGCTTAGACAGAGTAGGGTGAGGGTCTCTGGGAAAAAAAAACAAAGCAAGACAATCCATTGTGAGATTTGCTTTGGCCTGCTGGGGGGCCCAGCTTATTTTTCTGACTTTACCCAGGTGTTGCTCTTCTTCCTCCAGCCCTAATTAAGTGATTTGCAACCTGGGCAACTTAATAAAAAAGCCCAAAACAATGTAGTAAAAACAGGAAGGATTCCATCTTGAAGATAAGACTGCATTTTAAAACCCAATTAGTTAAAAAGTAAGTTTCTTAACATACTCTTTAACAAACAGACAATAACTCAGCCCACCTTGGGAGCAAAGCAGGCAGTCTTGATTGATATGCTTCCAGACCAGGAAGCTGCTCTCTTGGGAAGAAATCAGAGCTGTAAATTTCTTGTAAATAACCAGGAAGACTAACAAGAAACTTAATGTCTCTTCAAAGATAAACATTTTGGGACCACTTAGCAGGTGTACATCTCTAGCCCTTTGTCTCTCAACCGCCTATAAAACCCTTACACAACACACCACCCTGGGGCTCTCTTGTCCCTTCCAGGTGTGAGCCAGGAGCTCTGTCCTCTCACTTTCTCTAAATAAAAGCCTCTCACTTGCTCTCCTAAAAAAAAAAAAAGAGTAAAGTATAGACGATTAGAGTTCAGAGTCAGGTGGTCTAAGTGAACTGGATACCAGCTTAACCATTTATTAAACTGTGCGACATGGACAAACTTGTTAACATTTCTAGGCATTGATTTCTTCATTTGTAAAAGAGAGAACATAGTCTACACCTCATGGGTTGAATTAAATCAGAAAGTACATCAAAAGTACTTTAATGAATCTTAGCTAATCATACAATCATATATTATCTTAGACTTCTCCTAAAAATCACTCAGATAATTTTTGATACAAGTCATTTTTTATAAATATATCTAGATTAGACTAAATTCCATAAAGATCAGTAGTCTACTTTTCGGTAATGGTAGAATAGACAACCCTGCCACTACAGACAATGAAGAAAGCTGAATATTTATATTTTTTTCTCGAAGATATTAAGGAACTAGTAAGATAATTAAGAATTATCACACTGAAAAATCAAAATGAAAACCCACTTTTTCCTGAATTTATTTGTCAAACCCAAAGAAAGAGCTGTGAAAATGAGTGCTAAAAACCAAAGCCATTCCCCATTTAAAGCTGTCACCTGGAAGGGCTACAGCTCTCATGATGATAGTGAACCAGAAGTAAACCACCTCTCCCATGAACTTCCCAGCATCTGGTTCATTCCAGTACCTCAAGAAAGTCAAAAATTAATACTGCTTCCACATGCCTAGCAAAAACAAATGAAATCTTCTCTGGAAAAAGTTCTCAAATTATTACCATAAAAAGGTGTTTCAAATACAATATCCAGCAAAAAAAAAGAAAACCAAGGCATACAGGAAACAATAAATAAGAACAGAAACAACAGTCAGAAGAAACCAACCAACAAATAAAGACTTCAAATACTGTAATTATTAATCATGGATCATAAAATAACTATGCTCACAACTGTTCAAAGAAGTAAAAATAAAAGCTTGAAACTGAAGAGACAGAAAATAATGGAAAATAGTAAGTCAAAAATTTATAACAAAAAATTACAATAACTGAAATTGCAATCTCAAATAAAAGGCCTTCCAGTAGATTAAAAGAGCAGAAGAGAAAATTAACTTCACTAGAAAAGGGAAGTTAGAAGAGATTATTCTCTATGCTACTTTCAAGAAAACACAGAAGACATTCTACTTCAAGTGGAGGGGATACATGCATAAAATAAGTTTCTTAACTTACTTTTTTTGGGCAGCAAAAAACAGGAAAGAATGGAGAAGCTGCATTTTAAGACACAATGGCTATGAAATCTTGAGGGCCAATGAAAGACATGAACCCACAGATTCTATAAAACCAACATATTGCAAACAGGATAAAATAGAGAAAAAAGAAAGATCACACCTAGATATATATTGAAGTACAGAAAAACAAAAACATAAAGAAAATCTTAAAAGCAATTACAGAAAAAAAGATTATCTTAAAAAGAGTGATAGTTGGAATGTCAGCTAACTTCTTAGCAATAACATTGGAAACTAATAAGGAACCAATATCTTCAATGTATTAAAATAAAATAATTTCCAATCTAAAATTCTAAACCCAGTGAAAATATCCATTAATAATAAAGGCAAAAGTAAGATACTTCAAACAAACAAACAAAAATCTGACAGATCTGTTTTATAAAAAATTCTAAAGGACATGCTTCATGAAGAAGATTGTCTGATAGCAAGGCAGAGATGCAGAAGGAATAAAGGGCAGAGAAATGGGTGGGTGGACACACACACTGACTATATATATATAAAATAAGATCTTACTTCCCCGGTCTGGGGAAGGAGATAGTCTCTCAGGCCATGGAGATTCACAGACCTCCCAACACAAGGGACCCAAGGAAGACAACACCAAGACACATAGTAATTAAAATGGGAAAGATCAAGGATAAGGAAGGACAGACTGTTAAAAGCAGCCAGAGGCAAAAATAAAATCACATACAAATGAAAGCCCATCAGGCTAACATCAGACTTCTCAGAAGAAACCTTACAGGCCAGAAGGGAGTGGCATGATGTATTTAATGCCATGAAGCAGAAGGGCCTGGAACCAAGATTACTTTATCCAGCAAGATTATCATTTAAATTTGAAGGAGGGATTAAACAATTTTCAGATAAGCAAAAGCTGAGAGAGTTTACCTCCCACAAACCATCTCTACAGTCTATTTTGGAGGGACTGCTATATGGAAGTGTTCCTAGGGTTGGACAGCTGTCACCAGAGGTAGTAAAACCATGGTAGGGAGGGTTGAACAGCTGATTGAGAGGCAAATGCAAAATTAAATTCACTATCCCCAAAGTCAATCAAGGATAGACAAAAAGTACAGAATTTGATACCTAATATATAAAGGATGAAGGAGGAAGAAAAAGGAGGAGAAACAGAAAAGGACCTTTAGATTGTGTTTGTAAGAGCATACTAAGTGAGTTAAGTTAGACTCTTAGATAGTAAGGAAAGTAACCTGGAACTTTTGGTCACCATGAATCGAAAGCCTGAAATGGCAATAAGTAGATACCTATCAATAATCACCCTAAATGTAAATAGACTGAATGCACCAATCAAAAGACATAGAGTCACTGAATGGATAAAAAAACAAAAACCATCTATATGCTGCTTACAAGAGACTCGCCCCAAACCCAAAGACATGTACAGACTAAAAGTCAAGGGATGGAAAAAGATACTTCATGCAAACAATAGGGAGAAAAAAGCAGGTGTTGCAGTACTAGTATCAGACAAAATAGACTTCAAAACAAAGAAAGTAACAAGAGATAAAGAAGGACATTACATAATGATGAAGGGCTCAGTCCAAAAAGAGGATATAACCATTATAAATATATATGTACCCAACATAGGAGCACCAGCATATGTGAAACAAATACTAACAGAACTAAAGGAAGAAAGAGAATGCAATGCATTCATTTTTGGAGACTTCAACACACCATTCACTCCAAAGGACAGATCCACCAGACAGAAAATAACTAAGGGCACAGAGGCACTGAACAACACACTAGAACAGATGGACCTAATAGACATCTATAGAACTCTACACCCAAAAGCAACAGGATACACATTCTTCTCAAGTGCACATGGAACATTCTCCAGAATAGACCACATACTAGCTCACAAAAAGAGCCTCAGTAAATTCCACAATATTGAAATTCTACCAACCAATTTTTCAGACCACAAAGGTATGAAAGTAGAAATAAATTCTACAAAGAAAACAAAAAGGCTCACAAACACATGGAGGCTTAACAACATGCTACTAAATAATCAATGGATCAATGAACAAATCAAAATAGAGATCAAGGAATATATAGAAACAAATGACAACAACAACACTAAGCCCCAACTTCTGTGGGATGCAGCGAAAGCAGTCTTAAGAGGAAAGTATATAGCAATCCAGGCACACTTGAAGAAGGAAGAACAATCCCAAATGAATAGTCTAACATCACAATTATTAAAACTGGAAAAAGAAGAACAAATGAGGCCTAAAGTCAGCAGAAGGAGGGACATAATAAAGATCAGAGAAGAAATAAACAAAATTGAGAAGAATAAAACAATAGCAAAAATCAACGAAACCAAGAGCTGGTTCTTTGAGAAAATAAACAAAATAGATAAGCCTCTAGCCCAACTTATTAAGAGAAAAAGAGAGTCAACACAAATCAACATAATCAGAAATGAGAATGGAAAAATCACGACAGACTCCACAGAAATACAAAGAATTATTAAAGACTACTATGAAAACCTATATGCCAACAAGCTGGAAAACCTAGAAGAAATGGACAACTTCCTAGAAAAATACAACCTCCCAAGACTGACCAAGGAAGAAACACAAAAGTTAAACAAACCAATTACAAGCAAAGAAATTGAAACAGTAATCAAAAAACTACCCAAGAACAAAACCCCGGGGCCGGACGGATTTACCTCGGAATTTTATCAGACACACAGAGAAGACATAATACCCATTCTCCTTAAAGTGTTCCACAAAATAGAAGAAGAGGGAATACTCCCAAACTCATTCTATGAAGCCAACATCACCCTAATACCAAAACCAGGCAAAGACCCCACCAAAAAAGAAAATTACAGACCAATATCCCTGATGAATGTAGATGCAAAAATACTCAATAAAATATTAGCAAACAGAATTCAACAGTATATCAAAAGGATCATACACCATGACCAAGTGGGGTTCATCCCAGGGATGCAAGGATGGTACAACATTCGAAAATCCATCAACATCATCCACCACATCAACAAAAAGAAAGACAAAAACCACATGATCATCTCCATAGATGCTGAAAAAGCATTTGACAAAATTCAACATCCATTCATGATAAAAACTCTCAGCAAAATGGGAATAGAGGGCAAGTACCTCAACATAATAAAGGCCATATATGATAAACCCACAGCCAGCATTATACTGAACAGCGAGAAGCTGAAAGCATTTCCTCTGAGATCGGGAACCAGACAGGGATGCCCACTCTCCCCACTGTTATTTAACATAGTACTGGAGGTCCTAGCCACGGCAATCAGACAAAACAAAGAAATACAAGGAATCCAGATTGGTAAAGAAGAAGTTAAACTGTCACTATTTGCAGATGATATGATACTGTACATAAAAAACCCTAAAGACTCCACTCCAAAACTACTAGAACTGATATCGGAATACAGCAAAGTTGCAGGATACAAAATTAACACACAGAAATCTGTGGCTTTCCTATACACTAACAATGAACCAATAGAAAGAGAAATCAGGAAAACAATTTCATTCACAAGTGCATCAAAAAGAATAAAATACCTAGGAATAAACCTAACCAAATAAGTGAAAGACCTATACCCTGAAAACTGTTAGACACTCCTAAAAGAAATTAAAGAGGACACTAACAAATGGAAACTCATCCCACGCTCTTGGCTAGGAAGAATTAATATTGTCAAAATGGCCATCCTGCCCAAAGCTATATACAGATTTGATTCAATCCCTATAAAATTACCAACAACATTCTTCAACGAACTTGAACAATTAGTTCAAAAATTCATATGGAAACACCAAAGACCCCGAATAGCCAAAGCAATCCTGAGAAAGAAAAATAAAGTGGGTGGGATCTCACTCCCCAACCTCAAGCTCTACTACAAAGCCACAGTAATCAAGACAATTTGGTACTGGCACAAGAACAGAGCCACAGACCAGTGGAACAGATTAGAGACTCCAGACATTAACCTAAACTCTGTCTGGTCTCTATGTTAAAAGTCTCCCAGCCTTCTGACATTTCCAGCTCACTGATTTTAACAGAATTAAATTAGATTCTGCACAAAGTGAGAGAACCCCCGAATCTGGAATAAGTCTAATAAACCGGAGAAAGGGATACCCACCTAACTTTTCACTTACCCCTCTCTTCCCCGCCCCTATGCTCCAAGTCTTCACTAGCCCAACAACCCTATCGGCACCTTGGCACTGAAGAGTGGAACGGGTCAGCCCTGGCCGCCTCGTATGGATGGAGTCTCCTGAGAATCCATTCTGCGCCAGGTAGCATTCTCGGCCTTACACTTACTGTCTCATTTAACCTTCTCAATCACCACGGAAGGCAAGAGTTGCCAGCTGTATTCTACAAACAAAGACATTGAGGCGCTGAGACGTTAAATGAGAAGCCAAAGATCACAAAGGGGAGCCCGGACTCGAACCAAGTTTGTCAGGTCCCCCAATCTTATACTGGGATTTTTAACTGGCGTGAGCTAGCCCCAAACTGCTCCTCCCTGGAGGCCCCAAAGAGGGTCAGTTGGGCCACTAGCGGCGACCAACTGAGGCTAATTCCGGGCGTGCGTCGGGCGGCCTCCAGCCGACGCCTTTGTGAACCACCAGGGTCACTCACCGTCCTCACTCGCGGTCTCCCACCAGCACTGCGCCCGGCCCCACCCGGCTCAGCCGCCGCGGGCCCCAGAAGCGCGACAGGCACCCCGCCGCGGGAGGCCTACCAATCGAGCCGGAGCGCGTTGAGAGACGTGCCCCGGCTCCGCCTCTGACCGCCGGAGCTATTTTTTCGGGCCGCACTGAAAGACTGGGTTGGCCCGGAGCCTGATTGGCTCCTCCGTTGGGGGCGGGGCTCCACTAAAAACTACTCAGTACGCCGTGCTTGCCGTCTGCGCCTGCGCACTTCCCGTGAGCTTTCTGCATGCTCCGCCCTGGCAGGCGCTCTATCACGGAACTGGAGTCTCCTTTGCCGGGAAGACTTCAGAACATGTTTGAAGCTGTCAGGGAAAGAGAGGCTGGGGCCATGTCGCCACCGCAGACCGTGACTGCGAGGTCTTGATGCGGGACCAGTTAGCTTGTTCTCAGTGTCCCAGACCCGGCTGAGAGCTGCAGAATCCTACATTTGGAGGATCCCAGTATGTGTGTGTAGGTGACATTTACCTTTCCAGTCCGTATTTTCCAAATCGCTACAAAGTGTCAGACCCGACGTCGGGCTCCAGAACTGCAGATGTGGCTGACCGGAAATGCTCAAAGTCTAATTAGGGAGATGTGTATACACTCTGAAATTAAGAAAGAGTGTGGTAGGCAAGATCAAAGAAGGGTGTGTTGGGTGTAAAAGCGAAAGAGAAGGATTACCTAAGTCTTCCTAGACCAGAGGGTCTCAAACCTGGTTGCACGTTTAGAATGACCTGGAGATTCTTGAAAACTCTTGATGTTCAGGACCCCGACCAATTGAATCAGAATCTCCAGGGTGGGACCCAGGTAGCAATAGTTTGTAAAGCTCCCTGGGTGATTCCAGTGTGCAGCCAAGCTCGAGAACTGCAAACCTAGAGGAATACTTAAGAATGATTCTAAATACCAAGAGTTCACCAGCCATACAGGGAGGAAAGAGATTTAGAGAAAACTTCATGTGCAAAGTAAGATAATCTCAAAGCACATTATATTGCCTCCTTCACAAGTGCTCAGGAAACCTTATATATATAAATATATATTTGGTAATTAGACCTGGGCTCCTTTGGTAAAGCTCATATCTGCCCTCCCCAAAAACCAAACTCCCAAAGCATTTACAAATATAATGGAACGTACTGAAGACTTCCTGAGGAAACTGAGTGTGTTGCCATCATTGGAGGGGCAGAGAAGGCCTTAGGAGGTATGCTAAGGAGCTGGGACTTTATCCAGGAGGTGATGGGGAACAACAGACGAGTTTCCAAAAGGGGTATAATAAAACGGACAGGTTTTTTTGTTTGGGTGTCTTCAAGCCTAATTTTCTTGTGTCCTGATAATATAGGTAAAAATGGCTCCTCAGTGTACAAATATGATCGCTGCTTTTTCTTCCACAAAAGGAAATCAACTCCATCCTCTTTCAGTTCAATAAATTCAGAATCTACAACTGGGGTCCTCATCCACCATTTTCAAAAACTCTTAGGAGGTTAAGTGACCCAAAAATTCTAAGGGGAAGACCCAACTTCCACACACCGAAGGGGAAGGTCCTGGCGTCTCACCTGCCCACCATTATCTTTGCATCTTATAGCCACATGGCGTCGCTGTTGACGTGTATTTTTCCAACTGATGAAATGATGCACGTCCATGGAGCCACAGATTCCACAATGGCCAACAAGAATCTCCCACTAAACACATTCGGCCATCGTGTCTCTCACAAGGAGGTCTCAGGGTCTCAGCTCTTAGGGTACCATACTTTCAGGCCCATACTGTCTTCTTTCAGGTAGCTGAGGCCACTGTGAGTTTGATATCTGTGTCTGTTCCATGAAAATATGTCCTCACCACCAACACCACCCACAACAAGGGCCCTTTCCATGCCTGGCTATTCATGCTAGCAATGGTTGCCGACGTTCATTTTCAGCCCTCAAGACACAAAAACCCTTACTGCTTGACTTTTCCAGGACAGTACCGTCATTTGCCCCCTCTTCTGAGTGCAGCTGCCCTGATGATGGCCAGAAAGTCAAGCATCACTGGATAAGTTAGATTCTTTTGGCTACAGATAATAGAAAACCTGATTCAAACTGTCATCTTAAGCAGTAAGCAAATTGTCTCACAAAAGAGGAAGTCCAGAGTAAAAACAGACTTGGAGGTTGGTTAACTCAGTTCTTCAACAAGTTACCAAGGACCCAGTTGTCATTAGCCTCTCCGTCCTGTATGAAGTGGCAGTTTCAAATTTACGCTTATCCGATTTTCTACAAGCAATCAGAGAAACACAGGCTTTCTTTTCATCTAAAATATTTTGTTCTGTTTTTTTTTTTTTGAGCCAATCAGGTGTCATAGGCACATACTCTGCCACCCAATCAGTAACAGCCTGGCCAACATGCAGATGGCTTAAGCCTGGGCTCCAGAAGAGAAAGGGGGTCACCAGGATTGGAATTGGCAGTGGGGTGGATATTCCTCTAGTCAAGTGGATTGCCAGAGGAGGCAAGGCTACTTGGGTAAAACTGTAATCCTGTAAGGGGCAAGGGGACAATGGATGCTCTATGGAAGATCACTGGTATCTTTCACAATCTTCAAAGCACAAGGCTGACTACTATTTCTTAACAATAAACAATAGAGCCTCCCTCTCATCGCTGGTGGTTTTTGCACGGTGCAAGTTGAGGGGAGGAAGATCGACATCACCGTCCTCCAAAGGAATTCTCCACCAAGCCCTCTCCAATACCTCTCTTTGCTAGAGAAGGAAATGACTCTACACACAAGTTCAGTCTTTAGCTCAGCATCCTGCTGCATTGGTCACAAGAGTGTTTTATGGGCCTCCTCCACCCACCGGTATTTCAGTGGTTCTAAACACTCACTTAACTTTCATTCACTTACAAAAATGTATTAAGCCCTCATAAAATTTATAGTCAAATTGGGGAGGAAAAGATGAACAAACACAAATAAGCATATAATTATGGCAAGTACCATGAAGGAAGAGAACAGGGCTGCGTGAAGGAGACCTCTCTGAGGAGGTGACTTTTAAGCTGAGGTCTAAAGGCTATGTTCATTTCAGCTTACTTGCTTTCCTCTGTGCCTTGAGTTCCCATTATAAATTAGAGCCTTTACTAGCAGCTAAAAGAGATCTTCTAACCTTCTAAACTGATTCTCAAATTTTCTCCTCAGTATAGAAGTATCAAGTTTCTCCCCACTACAAGGAGTGAACCAAATATGAATGGCATTTAGTGATGGATTCTTGAAAGATTCTTTAACTCACAAGACTTTCAGTCAGAATCCTTTACTACGCTGTGTATACTTTGTATTATACTGCTAATACATTGTATCTGCCTCCCCCTTGAGAATCTGAACTCCTGGGGACATGCATACATTTTATTGCTTCCAGCTCCTAACAGTCCCTGCCACATAGTAGGTGCTCAATACAGTGTTGAATGGCATTGTTAAATTTGAATCAAAACAGACAGGAGCATTTACGTTCAGTAGCCATTTTCAATATGAAAGACCATAACAGCTCAGGCAATTTATTAGTAACAAATGCTAAAAAATCTATACCAAATAAACAATAGTTACAACGATCCCTTAAAATGGTCACGCTCTGGGTTTAGCACTTTCATGTTCTAACTTGTTGACTCCTCACAACAATTTTAACGTAAGTAGTGTTATTATCTTTATTTTACAAAAGATCAAATTAGAAATGACTTGCTAAGGTCACACAGCTAGTATGTGGCAGAGCCAAGATCTGAAACTGGCACTCAGGCTCCCAGAGCCCAGTTCATTAACCACTTGTCCACAGCACCTCTCATGATGGGCATTGGCTCTACAGTACGATTGGTGTATGCTCTTGTTCCAATCTGCAATTGTTTCATCTGACTGGATATTATTTATCTATGGATGCACAACAAATTACCCTTTAACATAGTGGCTTATCTCAAAGTTTCTGTGGGTCAGGAATACAGGATTTCTCAGCTGGATGGTCTGCACAGAATCTTTCATGAGGTTGCAATCAACCTATTAGCCAAGGTTCAACTGGGGCTGAGGATTCACTTCCAAACTCACTTGTGTGGACACTGGTTGGCTTCAGTTCCTTCCTAGTCAAGTGGGTCTCTCCACACGCTCCCTGAGTGTCCCCACAAATGACAGCTTCCCACAAGAGGGAGCGATCCAAGAGAATGTGTGAGCACCTCAGACAGAAACTGAAGTCTTTTTTGTGACCTAACCTAGGGAGTCATATATTATCACATCTCTGTAAGCCATCGATCACACAGACTGGCCTTGGGAAATTGTGGGAGAGGAGTACACAGGATGTGAATACCAGGAACAGGGATCACTGGGAGCTGTCGTGGAGGGGACTGAGCACAGTGTGCTCTTTTTGACTCTTCTCCACTAGAACGCGGACTTCACGAGTGGAGAAAACCATCAGTGCTGCCCACTGTTATATTCCCTGTCCTGGCACCTGCCAGATATCAGATTATCAATAAGTACTGGATAAATACAATGATGATGATATGACTTCCAAAGGATGATCTCACTCTAAGCCTGACTTACTCTTCTGCAAATTCCCAATTGCTGTTCATGGTATGGTACCATTTAAATAATTTTTTAAAGCAGGACTATATCATGCCTAAGAACATTTACTCATGCATATAACTTTTTTCTGTTTTTTTTTTTGCAAAAATAAACCCATAATTTTTATTTTGTTGCTGGTTTTCCAGGAAGTAAAATCTCTAATGAGATGAAACAAAATAAAAAAAATTGTCAGCTGAGCCCAGAGCTCTGAGTAGTAGATGTTAGAGAGGGCTGTTACCTAAATGTAAACGTTTGCTCAGTACAACGGGAGTGCTGCCAGACCCAGGAGCAAGTTGGAGAGCCTAAGCCTGGGGTTCCTGCATTGAACAGGACCCCAGAAGTGTGTTAAATTGGTTCCAGGTGAGTGGCTCTCCCTAGCTCCCAGATACAATTTTCTCAAAATTAAAAAAATTTTAAATCACTACAAGCAGGCCTATATTAAAAGAACTTTCAAGTATGTAAAGAAAGTGATCAAAAAAGACAAGTGAAATGCAAGGGCTGTTGAGAAAAGAAAACGATCCACATGTACATAAATCTAAAAAACAGTGAATGTTATTATCATGAAGGCAAATTTGTGGGCT